TGAAGTCCCTCACCATTTCTCATGCTAATCTTACTGGGTTTCTCCCGAGACACCTGCATTTGAATCTTTCCCACATCGATTTATCTGGTAATCAGATAAGGGGAAAGGTACCCACTTCGCTTACTCTGCTCGCGAATCTTGAACTCCTGAATCTTTCCTCAAATGGGTTGACTGGGGAGATACCCACTGAATTTGGGGACCTGATATCCCTAAAAAATGTGTCTTTAGCTTCCAATTCCTTTTCTGGGTCAATACCGGATTCAATGTCTGCGATTCCTGGTCTGGTTCATGTTGATCTGAGTGGGAACCAGCTGAACGGAACAGTGCCGAATTTCTTCTCCAAGATGAAGGGATTGAAAGTTTTGAATTTGGAGAACAATGCACTTCATGGGGTTTTGCCATTCAATGCTAGTTTCATCCAGAGATTGGCTGTGTTCAAGATTGGGGGGAATTCCAATTTATGTTACAACCATTCTGTTTTTTCATCAAAAATGAAGCTTGGAATTGCTCCTTGTGACAAACATGGGTTGCCCATGTCGCCTCCGCCGGCCAAAGATGTGTCTTCCGGTGACAGTAGTGAGAATGACTCATCAGACTACGATGACAGTTCAGATGGCACAAGTCAAAAGAAGGAGCATCATCATGGACCAAGTAAGGTTGTTCTTGGTGTGGCAATTGGGTTATCTTCTATTGTATTTCTCATTATTTTCTTGATTCTTCTCTCAAAATGGTGTGGTTGAGGCAAAAACCCTGTTGCTTATTAGTTAAATTTTCCAATTAGGGGGGGAATTTGGTAATTAGAGTTGAATTTTGGTTAATTCATTATTGATACACTTGATTATGAAAAGTGGCAGCTGTAGAGGGAGAGAAGAGTGACAAATTGGAATCATTAAATTGGTGTGTGATATTATTTTTGATGCTTTAGATCATGGAATGAAGAAAAGGCAGTCTTTCGATTTATGTGTGTCACCATTTTGAGATGTATTAGGGTCTACTAATCCAAAAAGCGGTTGATTTGTCAGTCACTATTCTTAAAAAATGTGTAATTTTCTTGTGCTACAAGCATTCACTTCTTTTGCACTTTTTCATAAATTAGCTTATCTACTCATCCCTTTATATTTTATGCTTTAACTCACTTCAATATTTTTTTTCCCCATTCATGTTTAAGTTCTCTTAGTTTTAGTTAAGTTGGGTCAAATATGCAAGTATCACGTAATACTATGTCCATTTTGTGAAGGTTGGAAGAACAACTCAAATGCACATTAGCTCAGCAAGTGTTAAAATGAGGGAATTCAAAATAGTAGAAAGATTGCAATGGAAATGAAGAGCAAAATGAGAAGATGAAAATTGGAAACCCATTTCAAAAAACTGTTAAATGGACTTAGGGTCAAGTGTCTAACATTCCTGAGAAATATAATTTCGTATGTTTTTCAGATTGAGGATTGGTGAATCATGATTTTTACTTCCACCATGTGTCTTTTGCTTTTGCTACAATTGGTTTTAATACATTGTTTCTCATTCTCTCCATACCAGCAGCTTTGATCCAAACTCTTGAATTGTGCGGCAACCTTTTATGGTTGTAGGTTCCTTCATAGGGTTATACGCTTTTCTTTTTTCATGCAAGTTGTTTGTGGGTTAGATTGTGAATGTGAAAGTGCGAGGATGAAATGATGATGGATGATGGATGATGGCAGAACCAACAACTAAATGTAATGGTTGGATGTTAGCTGTGCTATGGCTTGATTTGGGACTAAAGTTTGAGTATTCATGGTGGTTTCAAAGCCCCATTGGACCACAGCCATGTGAGGGAGGAATTTGCCACAGAAGATTTTTCATTTCCCCGGTTTCTGACAGCTTTGCTTCTTAGGAAAACATTCCCAAATCATCAATTTTTAATCTAACACAAGGAATAATGGATGCCACAACCCATTTTCTGATGTTTCGAATGGTCTACACAGTGAAAGGTAATTTCGTTCTTTCCTTTACTCATCTTGACAAGAAGATGATTCCAAGATTATAGGATCCTTTTAAACAAGATTTTCAGCTTTTTACTCGTTTATGTTACAAAATATGTGTTATAGGTGGAGTAGCGCATATTATTAAACACGTGTTTCCTATTGTTCGATGTGGGGTTTTCCCCCTTCCAAGTTGAAGGAAATGATAAGCCATGGGCACGGAATTTTTTAGTCACAAAGAAACCAGATGTTCAAAGATACTGTTCAACAAAGCAAATTAATTGATGGCAATGATTGCCAACTCTCTTTGTTCCGACCATTTAAGTGATGGCAATGGAAGGGATGATTATTAAGAGTTTCTTTTTTCACCATAGAAATGGATCTTTGAATCATCTGTTGTCTCTCTCTCTCGACAATAAGAACCTGTCAGGTCTACATCGATCACTATCGTCTCCGTTCTCAGCATTTTTGAGAACAGAAAGTCTCTTTATACAGGCTGCCCTGGCTAAGAATGAACTAAAAAACCAAGGATTTCTTTGAACGCGTAGTAAGCGCAAGAGGAAGTTACGTTCACCAGTCAAAACTGTGCAACAACATTGTTGAACCTCTTAGCATAATTAACGACCCAACTAGGCCGAAGCCTATCAGTTAACAGCTTTTTTTATTATGAGATTCACATAACGTTTGAAAGATTCAAGTTCAAATTGTTTCTAGTAATTGGTTTTGACATGTATCCTTCACAATCAAAATTGTTCTTCAAAGGTAGTAGAGCAAGTAGCAAAACTATATAATTGTTGCAAAATAGTTGAGCCTTTGAACCCAAATATGCCCTGTAAACCGTCCACCCCCCAAGGAAGAGAGAGAGAGAGAGAGGAAAACAATCATTGAGTGTGGCATGCGCCATAGAAACGTGTGGGCCGGCTATTTTTAAGGGAGTTTATAGTCTTTGCTTAGAAGGAACTAATGGGTTAAAACTTATTTTTAGTTTTTTATTTTAATAAATTTGTAAGTTTTAATTCATCACCGTATACTATGACATTTTTAAGTCCTCATTTATACGAATTAAAAAAAATAACCCTTACTTAAGGTCATGTTATAACATTCTATTAGTTTTGTTAACTAACTATTAATGTTATGTTAACATTCAATTAATAGAATTAATAAATTTAATTTAATTTAATTTAAATTTCATATTTTCTATGACGGAATGTTAACGGATACTAACAGTCAACTAATAGAGTTAACAATCAACTAACAGAATGTTATAACTTGATATTAAATGAGAATTATTTTATTCAATTCGTATAGATGAGAAGTTAAAACTTACAAACTTATTAAGATAAAGTATTAAAAGTATCATAATATAAGATAATGAGTTGAAAGCTATAAATTTATTAAAGTAAAAGGTTAAAAGTAAATTTTTACCGAACTAAAGACTCAAATCGCATATTCAGGAATCTGAGACTTTACGAATGGCCTATGGCTGCTGCATTCCTACCTCCTCAACCTGTATCTCGGTTACCTTCTTGCTTCCATTTCAACTATCAGCCCAAGCTGAGAAACACGGTATTCTATATCAAAGGTAATGAATTTACCGCATTCACTCAACTTTGTTCATCATTTCTGAAAACCCCATTTTTTTGAATTGTTAATATCCAACGCTAAACAATATGTCTGTTGGTATGGATGTTATCTATCTAGTTTTGGGCTGTGATTGTTGCATTTCAAGGTAGTGTGATTCGTTAGCCAATGAATCCCTTAACAACTCGAGAAGGGGAATTTCATATTTCTGAAGGCAAACCTACCATATACTTACTAGAAACTTTCTAATTTTGAGGCACATCTCACATGGTAGAATTTTACTTTCATTTTCTTCCTTTGAAGTGGTACGTGATTAGGTAATGACGCTAATATATTGCTGTTTGATTTCTTATCATCAGCAAGGCCCAAGTCCTTTCTGCTTGACTTGGAGTAGAAATTATCTTCTGAGCTACAAACCGAGGCATCATTTTTTGATGCAGCTAATTAACCTTCGAGAGAGATTGCAAATAGATCTTTGCCCTTTTGCTCTAGGAAGCGTCCTCCTCGTCAGTTAACCGCGTCAAGGATTGAATATAATGGAAATACTAGAGATCAACCTCTCAAGAAAAGTTCCTCTGCCTCAGGAAGAGAAAAGAAGGGAGAGCAGAAGAGACCTAATTCAACTAGAACAGAGGAGGTCACTGCTTTCTTCAAACGCATACAGTCTTCTATCCCTGCTTTCTTCAAACGCACAAAGTCTTCTATCTCAAAGGGAGAGTCCAGAAGCACTAAGAATCTAAGGGCAACCCCTCGGCTGAATCAGTTCTGGATGTTCTTCACCTGCCAGGGAAGCAGCTAGAAGTTGAAATATTAATGTTCGTTATGGGTTCCACATGATCAATAGCTAGGAAATTTCAGTCTGAATTCAGCCATGCATGGGTTCCAATTGTGAAGTTATTTATTTGTCTTCTATGTTTCTTTGGCACATGGTAGATCAATCAAAGAAAACAAGGCGGCATCAAGGTGGAGAGAGGTGTCTCTAACACAAAGCAGTGAATGAGGAACAAAGGTGATGCAACAAAAGTGGTGGATTTGAAGCAAACAAGGCCACCATCTAATTTCAGTAAGAGTTTACCAACACCATCTTCATCACCTCCACCATCTTCATCACCTCCACAGTAAAACAGCAGTGAACGCAGAGACAGGCGAGTTATCGGATGTAGAAACATTGAAACTTCGGAAGTTGAAAGACCTTGCAAAGGCCAGAGGATTAAGAGGCTACTCAGATGAAGAAGACTGCTTGTCAAACTACTCCTGTCTTCATAGCCCAGAGTAGAGAAAGTCTGTTGCTTTGTAAATGTTGGAAATTTTTTCCTGATATCTATTGGGTGATGCTTTATCTCAATTTCTCTCATTTCTAGAGACAATTGATAAAGATATGCAAATGTAGCAGAAAAAATGGCTACTTCCGCTTTTAAAACAACAGTAATTCTCCTCATTTTTTCAAGACTAAACCTGCAAATAAAAAAAAGCTTAACAGAAGCCTTAAGTCATAAGATGAAAGGTTTTACCATGGTCTAAATGTAAAATATTAATTGACTTAAAACACTATCTGCTTGTCCAAATAGCCCAAAACAATAAAAAACCAAGAGACAAGAGTACTTGGATTATCTCAAACTAGTAACCTTAAATCTTGATCAGACAAGTTGTAACAACTGATACACAAAAGTCAAACGGCACCTAGCAAAATTGAAAACTAAGGATGAAAGGGAACTCTCTAAGAAGCAATAGTTTGAGACTTGTTGAGGATGACACCTTCATACTTGACTTGGAACCACTTCATGGCATCCTCCTTAGTAACTCTGTGCTGGATTCCAACACGTGATTTGCATCTACGACGACGACCAACTCGGTATCCAGGGCGCTCAAGAACAACATAGAAGTCCATACCATAGATACCAGTTGAAGGATCATACCTGAAAGGACATACAATTGTTAGCTATCTCACGTTTAAATCATCATATCAACCAAGTGAAGCCATAAGGCAGATATCAGACTCACTATCCAGTTGGGTTGTTCAACAACCAGTACCAACCACTAGTCATTAGTCCAGATGAATCATGAAACTAAGTTAGATGCTTAAAAAAATTATTTAACCAAAAGACAGCACCAGCAAGGGATCAGCTGAATGTTATGTCCAACAAGCAACAAGCAAAACAAAAGCCAAACAGAATGGTGACTATAAGATTAATGAAACTGTCAGGTTAAAATATTACAGAACAAAGCCTTCCCATATTAATAACACTTATAAAACTTCATAACCTATAAACTGTATACTTGTGGCTCAAGTAGGTTCAATTATTGATTTCTCCATGAATCAATGACCTAATCCTAACCCAAAAAGTAGCATTAGGTATTGGCAGTTAATCATACTGCATATTCATCAGATCTTAATTGTTAAAACTTCACATCAACAAATATTTTATCTACATACACAACAAGGAAATGAATGAATGAACAAAGGCCAATTTTATTTTTTATTTTTTTAAAAAAACTCACTTAATTCCGAGATCAATGTGCTCCTGTATACCAAATCCAAAGCAGCCAGTATCACTGAAGTTCCTCCTCAAGAGCTCGTACTCCTTCACCTTCAATCCACTCTCCAGAAGCTGCATAGCCTTCTCACCCCTCACAGTCACGTAGCAAGCAATCTTCTCGTTACGCCTGATACCAAAAGACCTCACAGTGTACCTAGCTGCTCACATCAACACGATTATTGATTACCATCAACAATAAGTAAAGACAGCAGTGGTTTCGGATTCGTACCCTTGGAGAAAACAGGAGTTTGGTTGCTCAGTTGTTCCAGGACCTTGGCGGCACGGGTAAGACGATCACCGCTTTCACCGACGGAAATGTTGAGGACGAGCTTCTGCACCTTGATCTCCCTCATAGGGTTTGAGAGCTTCTTCTCCGATGCCTGTTCAATATTCGCACAAAATCGAAAAAAAGAAAAAAAAAAAAAAAATTCAGTCCATGATAATCAAAGATCAATAAACAGGTGCAAGTCAGATGTTCATGCGAGATGGAAATCGGAGAAACTCACCATGGCTGTGTGATGGAGGTTGGAGACTCGAGAGCGGCCGTAAAATACAGATGCAGAAATGGGGGCGAATGGGGATATATAAAAGAGGCCTCGAGGATGCTAGGGTTTTGGGATGAACGAATTGACAAAAATACCCTTGAATTCTACTGCATATAAGAAAAAAATGCCAAAATGATTTCCGTTGCCGGGACTCGAACCCGGGTCTCTCGGGTGAGAGCCGAGTATCCTAACCAACTAGACTACAACGGATTGTGTTCAAATGCCGAATGTAAAATCTTAAATTTAATATACACCCAGTTTCTAGTGAGGTTTTAATACTACCTGGCTTTGTAGGCTTTGAACTCGTAGTCACAACTTAAATTTAAGTTTTTTAAATTGCTTATTATTAATTTAGTCAAACTATTAATTTATTGTTCTTTGCCCTAGTTTCGTTTTTTCTAAATCCACCGTCAATTGAGGTTCAAGTTATTTAACCCTAAACTCAAGTTTAATTGGATAATATTAAACTATAACGATAGTTATAGGTCTTTTTAGTCATTTAATATCTTAAAAATATATTTAATATATTTAATATTTATTAGAATTAACATTTTGTATATTTTTAAAATAATAAAAAGATAAAAACTAAAAATTAAAAGACATCAAACAATACGGTCAACATCCTAAATTACTTTATAGTGTGCATTCATGCAAGTTAGTCCTTCAAGATCTGAATCCCAAGGTTGCAATATCTCTCAACTTTACAAATAAGTGGATATAAATGTAGGGTCTGAAACAAAAGGTACTGACGCTTGGTGAATAGGATTTTTTTATCAGATAACGTATTGAACAAATTTGTGATGACAGCCAGTATGAAGGGGTTTCCCAAATGTGGTGAGACATATTCTTTTCTCTTTTTTTTTGTCTTTTTGAACATGGGTAATTTTTTGAGAGGAGATTGTAATCACAATTGGGAGCAATTCTCCATTTTAGGAGTTGCTGACAGAAGTTGAACTCTTAAATTTTTAGGGCACCAAACTCTTTTAGAGTTGGGACATTGAATCACGGGCCAACAAGGCCTGGTTCTGCTTCCGCGGAGTCTAACATAGACCCGAGGCAGACAACAAGAAGGTTGTCAAGTAAAATGATATTTCCATTGCCAGGACTCAAACCCAGGTCTCTTTGGTGAGAGCCGAGTATCCTAACGAACTAGACTACGACAGATTGCTATGGATGTTCATATGTATCAACCTAACTTGAATATGTGATTCAGTTTCTTTTTCCTTTTTTGTTTTGTTTTTTTTAATGGAATGATTCAGTTTCTTGTTAGTGTAAATGACTTTTGCAACATTCATTTCATTATGGTTCCCTGTTTTATTTCCCTTAAAAGTTCCTAATGGTTAAGAGTTTTGAGTTTTCATATATATTAGAGATTTTAAGTTTGAATTTTAAGATAAATAGAAAAAGATTTGAGAAGGAGAATGCCATTCTTATTGTATAATCCATCCTCTAATATATATATATTGATATAAAGAAAAATCCCTGTTGTATTGTTTCTTTTTCTCCAAAACCAACACCAGCTAGCCGACAATTCCCCAATGGTGTTAGGAGGTCCAGCCAGCTGTGAAGATTTTAAGTTTCTGATACCTTACCAATCACCATGATTTGATTGTCTGGTGAGATTCAACCACTCAACCTGTATTAATGAAAATCTGAAACAAAAAGGTACCAGTGATTGATGAATAAGACTTCTTTATCATGAAAAGTAGGTATTGAACAAATTTTTTATGATACCCAGTGTTAAGGCAATCCTCAGATTGCTGACAAATTTAGACCCAAGAAAAACAAGGATGTATGTATATTAAGAATACGATTAAAAGGGGTGAATATTCTCCAAGAAATGTAGCCCGGTCAATCCTTGCCTAACCTCTAATCTAGATGCTGAAAAGGTAAACAACCAAAGAATTCCATACCAGCAACAAGTGTTGCAGCAAAGTAATAAAAACTTCACGGAGGAGTATTTTATTGTCGAGGTGACAACTTGGGAAAGCTGGAGCCTCAAGTCTACTCTTTCGGCTGAAAAAAGAAGACAGACAGGATGTTTAAACAGATATGTTGACCACAAAACGGCCCTCTGAAGTAGCTTCATTGACTGCATCATATGTACCTAAAGGCTACTGCTGCACCAGCTGAAGCAGGCACGAAATGGTGATGCATGGAAGAAGTCTCGAGGTCTATTCACATGGTACTAAAACATATTTACACGAAAGAACCATGGCAGAACAAAGGCTATTACCAGACATGCCATCAGGAAGTTACAGAATGGCTGTCTTCGCCAACACCCACCACCCCTATTTGATGAGTTACTACCACCAAGGGTGTATCGCTCTACATTCCATTCTTCCACAAATCTGTTATCTCCGACACCAGTAACATTTTTGGCAGACTCACCACAAATTTCACAGAATCTGCAAGAGTAAATGTGAGATGTCAAGAGTGAAAATGATGTTTTGAGATAGATGTTTCTCGTTGGCCAGTGTTTTGAGATGGACAGAATTCAGAATGTAGAACCTAGCCAAAGTAACATATAACTAATGCAAAGCAATAAGCAAACAGATGCACCACTCAATACCAGAAGCTCCTGTCCGTTTCCCAAGCTAAAGTATAACAGTCAATTGGTTAGGCCATTGCTAAGGTGGGAGAGATATGGGGTCAGCCAGTTAGGGCATATATGCTCTTATAAGTTAAAGAATAACAAGAAAGATGTGTTAAGGGCTATGGAGCCCAAATCAATGATCATGCATGCTGTATTCGGAGACTACAATGGAAATTGACCATAACAAAAGAAGGGATTGTTGTTGTCAAGAATCAAGAAGCACTACCATTTCAGTAAGAAGCCAAACCCTACAGCTCTTATCAATATCAAAGACATTATGATATGGTCAGATAGCACATCCTAGATTCCTAGTCAACATCAACAAAAGAACATATTCTTTCCCCATGACATACAAGGCATATACTAAAACTTCATTATCAAAAGTGAGAACATATACCTGTTTCCTTTTAGCTTAAACCATGCTTCAGCACAATGACTATGTGCAATTCCAAGCTCATCTTTGCAAGCACAACCAAGTTGAATTAGATCTGTAGCAGTAGCTGAAGTACTATCATCACATTCCAGCAACTGCTCTGAAGTCAAATGACAAATCCGACAAACCCTTTCCCCATCAGAAGTCTCCTTAAACCCCAGTCTGCCACTGGCACCACTCTTTATGTCAATCACACAAGAATTATCTGCTTCAGAACTCTTAGGCTTTGCCTTTGGCTTCTCCTCCAATACTTTACTTGAACCCAGTCCATTGCCTTTCATTTCTGTGACTCTATTTCCTCCACCCTCACCCACTGCCTCTTGTGAGTTAATCACAATAACCACCTCAACCACAGATCCACTTTGCGAGTTATTCAAACTCCCATGACTTCCTTTATCAACTTGACCTATTGTCTCGTTAATTCCTCCCTCAACAGGCCTGTCCTGAATTATGACCCTCTGGCTTGCTTCCGCCAATGCCTCACTTGATCCTGATTCTTTGCTTTCCACTATCAAAGCCCCATTCTCCTTACTAAGGCATGAGTTTTCTTCAGAGTCAATCACAATAACATCCTCCAACACATTGGCATGAACTGAATTACTCAAATCCCCACTGGTTCCTTGGTCAACCTGATTCAATGGCTCACTGATTCCATTCCCACACTGCATCAAACCAAGATCATTGTTTCTCAATCTTACATCTGCATGTTCTCCAGCACCATGCACATTTTCCTCAGAACTAACCAAAATACCAGTCCCAAGCTTTGGATTTTCACCAGTTCCCATATCAACTTCACCCAAATGAACCCCACTTCCTCCCCTCTCTCTTGTCTCCTTTTCCATTAATCTCAACAAATCTACAACCAAAATAAAAAAGAAAATACCTTCTTCCCACTGAATTATCAAAAACCCCAGTAAAACCTATACATATAAATAAAAGCAACAATTTTGAAAGCAACTTTAACAACAAATCCAAGCGATGATCACAGCAATCAACCCAAATCCAGAAAGAATTCACTTTAAACTCGTATATCAGTCCCAAAAATATCAAAACAAAATCACAAACGATCAAGATTAACAAATATTAATTTAGCTATTTAATTACCTCCAACCCAAAAGACCGAATCTTTGCACACTTGCAAACAAACCCAGAATCCAGATCTTTAAAAACTCCATTAATCACCTCAACCTCACGCCAAAGTTTCATTAAAAAAATGCACAAAGACTGAATAAAAGGGTTTACTTTCTCATATCAAACCCAATAAAAACTACAGGTGACGATCTGGTCGTAATGGGTTCTTCCCAGGAACTCTTCAACAGAATGTAAGACTTTGCTTAGCTTATAGATTTGCCGAGTAAATATGGTTAGGTGGAGAAAGGAACTGGAAAAGGTGAGCGAAGGGGTCAGGGGGGTAAATTACATAATAATAAGAGTCAGATACAGAAGAAAAGTGACGATAATTCGTAGTAAGAACAGTTGCAATTTGGCAAGGAGGCGTTTTGAACGGGCAAAATATGTAGAAGATGAAGAAGGTGGGCAAAACCATAAGTTAAGCCCCTGAACGAACCCCAGAATCGCAATTAAGCCCCTAAACTTTAATTGATGCAGTTAAGCCCTTGAACTCTGGGATCAAAGCAATTAAGCCCTTCTTCTTAAGCCAACTTAACTGCCGTTTGTGATTGCTCGCCTGACTTAACTGCCGTTGAGCAGACACCCCGCTTGGCTGCTTCGATGGCAAAATATTGCCATGTCATGCTTACATGGCAGGAGATTTAACATTTGACCTGGATTTTTGATTTATTTGATAATTTAATTTTTTTATTTAAAT